TCAACCCTTATATCTTTGAACTATATTTGACAACTTGAGGCATGATGAATCATAATATACTTTGTCATGATATTACTTCAAAATATATTCAATGATGAGGCTTTAATCTTAATGAATCTTTGTTGAAGAAGACATGGAAATAAACTCATGAACCTATAGATCAACTTGATGGAATATGTTGTGCTCTCACCTATAATATCATCAATTAGGGAAAACATTCATTGTATTTATGAGTTAAAAGTTAATCAATACAAAATATAGATGATCAAAATATACAAGTCAAGGTGCTTGGTGATTCCCCATGAGAAAAGCTAAACATAAGGAGAAAAATCAAATCCTAATGTGATCTTGTTGTAATTGAATTGACATGAGATGATAGAGGGATCTTAGAGGTGAAAATTGGGGTACAACAGCTACCCTTATTTAAGTGTCTTATATCCGAAGATACGAAGGTTAAAATCTTCGTGTCGACGCGATTGAAGATACTTTAATATAAAACAAACCCTATTTCTGACCCTAAGATGCCATGCAATGTTTATGATTGTGCATGCGAACAAACAGATCCAATGGTTACACAAGACACCACTGGGGAAACAAAAAATAAAATATCAAAAGAGAAATAGACTAGGAAAATAAATCACTGGTGAACAGATGACTCAACTCTACTGATGTAAAGCCCAAGGGGGAGATAAAGCAACATCAACTCAAATATTGAGGAGAGAAAGTAAAGGATAACGATGATCAACAAATAACCGCGAACTATCCAATCTCAGAGAAGATAGTAAAAAAAAGTAATATCGATCTACTAGGGAAAAGAGGTGGTAGGATAATACCAGTAAATATCAATATTAGAGGTGGTAACAATTGTTTGGCATCAGTACTCATGACTGGAAATAAACAAACTTCTTCAGAGTAAAGTGAATCTCAACGAAGAATTATCTCTCATAATGAAGAGACTACCATCCATCGGAAAAAGATATCAACAACGAACTATCTCCCATAATGACGAGACTACCATTCATTGGAGTAAAAAATCTCAACAACGAAATATCTCCCATAATGACGAGACTACCATTCATTGGAGTAACATCTCAACAACGAACTATCTCCCATAATAACGAGACTACCATTCATTGGAGTAAACAAATCTCAAGAACAAACTATCTTCTATAATGACGAGACTACCATTCATTGGAGTAACATCTCAGCAATGAACTATCTCCCATAATGACGAGACTACCATTCATTGGAGTAAACAAATCTCAACAACAAACTATCTCCCATAATGACGAGACTATCATTCATTGGAGTAACATATCTCAACAATGAATTATCTCTCATAATGACGAGACTACCATTCATTGGAGTAACATCTCAGTAACGAACTATCTCCCATAATGACGAGACTACCATTCATTGGAGTAACATCTCAACAATGAACTATCTCCCATAATGACGAGACTACCATTCATTGGAGTAAACAAACGAATATTCTCATGAGACTAACAGACTTACTGGGGAAGTACAAGTTGCTCAAATAAAGATACTGCCACTTGCTGTTATGAGAAGGAACTGTAATAATGACTTCTTGGGGAAAGAAATATGACTTCCTGGGGAAAGAAATATGGATTCTTGGGGAAATTTCAATATATTCCTACTGAGGAGCTAAAGTCTTCTCATGCCAAAATAAATGCACATTCTCAAACTAGGGCTCAAAGTTTGCAGAAATCAAAATAATAATGTTGTCGGGGACCACAGATTAAAACTAGAAATAAACCGTTGTGAAACAGCCGACCGAGATAGCACCCCATGAGAAATAAACTCAAAAAGGGATCACATTCCACTTAGATAAAGAACTGAATAGGAAGGCTAAATCAAAAAATCTCCCACGAGGGATAACTCAGTGGGGAAATTGAAAGAATATATACTTTTTGCTTAAAGTTGACAAACTATTGGAGAGAGGGTGACACAACTCTGCAAATAGGGTAATATGCCAATAAAATTAATAAATGCAAATAAGCAATGAATTAATTCAGCTATGCATGATGCATGTATGAATGTTATGATGTACATGCTGACGAAACTATCACACTATACTGGAGATAAACAGACAAAACCAAATTGGGTAAAGTTAATACTCGGCTAAATCACATCCAGGATGAAAATTCCCAAAAGACAGTAAGTATCAATTGAGGAAACAAATTCCTATCCCATGACTTAACTTCATTGGGAAGAAACATGTCCCGAAAGTAATCAAATCACACAATAGAATCAGTGCAAATACAGGGATCTAACATCCTCCTCTGGGCTTCACCGGGGAAAATCACACAGACTTCAATAGGGAAAACAAATGTTTCAACATCTAGATTTTCACTGGAGATTATAATATTGACTTCGTTAGGGCAGATGAAAACCACATCGTTGAGATATTGATTGGGGATTCCGTGCTAACTTCATCAGGGAGTACAAGACCACATCATTGAGGGGCCCAAAAATAAATTCTTCGATACCTAGAGTGATGATTACACAATCCTCCTTGGTGATAAATTATAAAAACACATGGAGATAACAACTTCCAGCCAGAAACAAAGTCTCAGCTTCTCTTGGGGATCTAAGAAGTCAAACAATACAGCAATAAATCAAAATTATGGGGATTTTAAATTAAATCCAGCACTCGGCGGGAGAAAACCCAAAAAAGTTGACAACTGTTTCAATACTTCTTATAAAAGATACTGCTCTTGCCTAGTTTCCTGGGAAAACAACAATAATGTCATTACTGCTAAGAAGAAGAGACTCCCGACATATGAGAGAAAATCTTATTGGAGAATCTGAGATAGAGACCTCAAACCATGCAAACCCAAAATCAAAATGGACAAAGACTTGACTGGGGAAAACAGGATCACAAGCCCGATACCGCACCTTATGCCAATTGGTTTCATCTTCAACTGTCCGAGAGAGCCTTCCTGGGAAAAACAAACTTCCAAAATTTATGAGTTCGTCCATCCTTGAAATTCACCATTTTTGTTTTTTCTCGTGACACAAAATCTAAAGTAAAAAGTAATTTGTAAATTCCTTTAAAAAACAATTTTATTATTTAATCTTTTGCTTTGAAAATTACTATCAATAATAAATGGAGTCTTTGTAAGCAGAATAAAATAAGAATTGCAAATAATTGGATAAAAGCTCAAACTTTATTAATAGAATGGTAGTCTGCGAATGACGAGACTCTATAGATGATTACAAAGTTTAGAAATGATAATATATATTGGAAAAGATACATTGAAATACAATGACCAATATTCTCCCTATCAACTTTGAATTCCTGAGCAACAACTTTAGAGTTTTTTTTTCTCGAAAATGCAAAGAAAAAAACGAATTTTTTCAAAAATATAATAAAAATTCGAGTTTTTACGAAAATACAAAGAAAAAACAAGTTTTTCCAAAAATATGAAAAGTCAAGTATTTCGAAAACACGAAGAAAAAAACAAATTTTTTCAAGAAAAATGAAAAAAGTCGAGTTCTTTTGAAAATATGAAAAATCGAGTTTTTCTAAAATAAGAAAAAAAATCGTAATTTTTCGAAAATACAAGAAAATCGACTTTTTTTTTAAATATAAAAAAAATGATTTTTTTGAAATCACAAAAAAATCGAATTTTTTTGAAAATATAAAAAATTAAGTATTTTTTAAAATACGAAAAAATAGTGTTTTTTTCAAAAATATGAAATATATATGAAAATATTTTATATAAAATATTTTAAAAAAAGTAAATATATTTAAATTGATTCTTTTCATGGATGAATATCTATCCATTAAGAGCATGATTATCGGTGTTCTTTGAGAGTTCCTACACATTTATTAAAGAAATAGTGTCAATAATAAATGGATATTTCACTTGTTTTCACGTTCCAGAACTAAAGCATGTCCTCATACTAAAACACGCTTCTACACTCCAATTAAGTGGGTCATGATAATAAATTAATAAATAAAATTACAAGAATGTAATTGATTTGTTTTAAATGTGAGACTCATTTTTTATTTTTTGATGAGTTACATGAATATTTAAGAATTGTAGATGAGTTATTTAAAAAATTGAGAAATGTAAAATAATATAAAAAATTATGTGGGTCCCATTTAAATAACTCAAATGAGTAGGATGGATGTGGATGCTCTAAGGCGTAATTATTTGTATAAATACATTAACAATTCAATTCACGTCCATCTAATGCATGCATTTTGACATTCCTAAACACGACTTCTTATTAGTTGAATTGGTGTAAAAATAGGCATTTTTTTCTCCAAAACTAAAATAGAGAAGAAAAAAAAAAGTGAATTTTAATCTTATTTATTTTTACACTCAGTGCCGTGGCTTACGTCAGTGGCGGTGTGGTGGTTCGCAACGCTGTAGCTGACGGCACCGGTGATGGCGGCACAAACGTTTAACCCCTCTTCCTACTGAATTTTCGCAAATTTCTCAGGAAACTGGTAATTTGAATTTTCGTAGTTAATGAATGATAAGAGAAGTAAATCCCGGAGTATGCAATGCTTTTGCTGAAATATGTTTCCAATTAAAATTTGGTTTGTAACCATGGTTGTTCTTTTATCAAGAATTGCTAGATAACTGCGTGCTGTTTTGTGAGTTGTGAGAAGAGATTGGGAGAAATTACCAATCTTGGGTTGCACACAAACTGTTTGATTAAATTCCACCTTAAATAAGTCTCTCTTTTTCTATATTCTTTTGCTCTGAATTGTGATTTTGTGATCAAGTTGCGGGATGCATGCTTGCTCAAATCATACAAAAACACTTTGTTTTATGAGTTCATGGTGTAGTTGTATTGTAGCCGCGTAAAAAAAATTGCTATGTCTTCTATATTGTTTTAATAGTTCTTGTTGCTTTTCAAGGTTTATATAGGTAGTTTGTATCTTTTGACGATGCAAGTTTTGATTTTGTTTGACAACTTGATAGTTTATATTTGTCAGGTGCAAAGCAGGGTTCTTTACTATGAATATTGATAAATTCAAGCAGGACATTGATGAACTTATTGCTCAATTCTCACAGGTATTGTTAAAATCTACCTATCTCCATTTCATCTGTTTGGTTCAAGAACTTATTTCCCAGTATTTGTTTAAGGTGTGTTCTAATTTGTTTTGGTTTGATTCAAATCCATTTTTTCTACTAGTCCTACTTGTTTCCTAGTATTTGATTAGTAACAAGTGCATTGGAGTTAAGTGGGGTCCATTTCATATTATCTGTGAGAGCTCCCGATGAACGACATGTGGATCGGGATTGCGGTATAATACCAAGTGGTTTCATCGAACGGGTGAGCGGGAATGGGTTGGTGATTGAGGGATGGGCACCGCAGTTGATGATACTGAGTCACCGTGCAGTGGGAACGTTTTTGAGTCACTGTGGTTGGAACTCGGTGTTAGAAGGGTTGGTGTCTGGTGTGGTGATGTTGACGTGGCCGATGGGTGCGGATCAGTTTACGAATGCGAAGCTGTTAGTGGATCAGTTAGGTATGGCGGTTCGAGTTGCAGAAGGGAATGAGAAAGGTTCCAGATATAAGCGAGCTTGTGGAGATAATAAAAGGGTCACTGGCAAAGACGGGGAGAGGGTGTGAAGTGAAGAGTTGAGGATGCTGCGTTGGGTGCTATCAAGAAAAATGGAAGCTCGCAGGACCTGTTGGATGCTTTAGTGAAGGAGCTTAATGAACTTAAGAATCACTGATTCATGATTTGAGTGTTTTAGAAAATGATTTGGAAGTGATAGTCAATTCAAAGTCTCTGCAATGAAACGGAACGGAACGGAAACCATCTCCTTTTTAGAACCTAAAAAGAAATTGATTGAGATCCTCTCCTTCTACTTTGCTACAATCTCCTTGGATTTAATCCAATGATTGACAAACAAACCAGCAAAATAATAATAATAAAAATAATAATTAATAATAATAATAATAGTAATAATAATAATAATAATAATAATAATAATAATAATAATAATAATATTTAATACTGTCTTCAAAAGAAAATATATGATCTATTGAGGGAAAACTTGGTCCTCCTTTGTGATTCTTTCTTAAATCCATTTTTTCTACTAGTCCTACTTGTTTACTAGTATTTGATTAGTAACACTAACAAACAGTTTTTACTGTTCAATTTCGGTGAATAACAGGATGAGTCAAAAACTTTGGCTGATATGAAGAGAGTATGGATTTCTAAGAAGTTTTCCTACATTTATGATGCTAGTCCTTCTACCAACTTGGCCTTCTTTATGCAGTCTCTATATGCTCATTGTATAGGTACATGTTTCCCTGGGATATGCAATTCTGATCTTTACTTAACTATTTTTATATCTTAAAATAGTAGCGCAACCTTGAGTTCTGATTATTTCCGTGTAATTCGGGTGTTGAATTGCTTTATTTTGTGCTGAAAAGTATCTCTATAAGTAGAAGGCATTGAAGCAAACATAATTAAAAATTACAATGTATTGGTGAAAATTCCGCAATATTCAATAACTTTGTGATATTGTAGAGGTGTTAATTTTGGCCGTATCTATTATTTCAATATAGAAACTCCTTTAAATTCTTATGCAGGTTACATGGTTAGCACTAGTTCTTTATCACAGAGATTGGGTGGCCTTTATTGCCTCTATTGTCTTTATGAGACTCAACCATTCAAACCTCCTTTTAAGGTCTACATATCCCTTGGTATGCCAATTTTTACTTAAATCATAATTACATTTAGCCGTGACTGTAGTTTCTGAAGTGCCATGCAATTGTGCTTGTTGGAAGGAATATATTTGATTTGCTCATAACATGAAGGAGATGATGATGATGATGATGATGATGAGTTAACGTGAAATTAATAATAATTAATTTAATATGAATGAAAACTTTGAATGCGTCATAACATGAAGACGATGTATGTGGTTTTATGAGAAGGGGATGATTTTGTGTTTTAATACTCAAATTTGCATGTTTCTACAGGAGAGTTAAAGAATCTTAGAACTCTTGTTGTTGATGCAAAGGCAAATGATATTAGTGTGGTGCCTGCTTTAGTCAAAAGAATGCTGGAAAGAAACACATTCCTCTTTGGTGCTGTGGACTTGGTGGAAAGTTCTGTCACAGAAACAGTAAATCAACTCCAAAATGTACAGAAGGCTCGTATTCAGGTTGCATACAAAAAGTAAATCACCATATTGAACTTATGTTCAATACCCTTCCTTCCTTGTGTGTTACCATTCCTGACAGTGTTTTAACCAAACCACTTATTTGTTTGAATGTGTTCCCTGTGTATGACAGGTTGTTCGATAGCACGCCAATTGAAACATATGTACGCATGGACCTTGTAAGTTTGAGTTGCTTTTTGACTTGTTCAATGATTTAATCATTAATCTTTTGCACACATGGTATTATTATACAGTCAGCTTAACATTAGGAGATGACAACAACAATCAAGCCTTTTCCTAATAAAGTCGGGACAAAAATAGTAGTCCATAACCAGTATTACCATTTATGTGAGTGTTTAGATACACAACTTAATCGAGCGCTATTCAATGAAAACTATTCATGAGAGATTGATTGTTTGGGGTGGTTAAAAATTTATTTGTTGGTAACTGAACTTGATGAGTTGAAAGTACATGATTTTAGGCTTTAGCGTACTAATGGGTCTGAGTCTTTTAAGAAATTAATCAGTATGTTTGTAAATGTATATCATTCATGGAAGTAGACCTCAATTTATTTTAGTGTGATTTATTTTCACATAACTTTCTTTCTCCTTTCCACACCAGGGAATGGAAGTAGACCTCAATTTGCTGAAGGAAATGTCAGCTGAATATGCTGAGGCCAAGAATGTAGCAATTAAAGGTATATGTTCCTTTTGTACTCAATATCACAGGTGCTTGAGACAGGAACATTTTCCATATCTTGGAAGTATTTTTTTTGTGAAGCAAGTCTTTGTGTTTTTCCTGTCATCTAAAACCATACACTTATGATACGTTTTTTTTCTTCTTTTCTTTCTGCCTTCTCCCCATGGAACTGCTCTATATGAATACCTGTAAATTCATACTAGACATTTGCTACAAATGAATATTTTTCTTAACTTGTTCAGATCTAAACTAATGTTTTTTTTCTTAACTTGTTCAGATCTAAACTAATGTTTTTTTTCTGACTTGCTAAACTAATCTTAACCTAGACAACAAATGGATTAAAACAAAGCTGCCTACCAAATGTTGGTGAAAGAAGTATATTTGGAATGTCTTTGTTTGAAGAATGACAACTTATGTTTATGCTATTTTTTTCTCTTTAACAAATGACAATGTCTCCAAATTGAGTTGATGCTATTTTTTTCACTAACAAATGACAATGTCTCTGTCTTTATCTCTTACATTTGAAACTCTTGAACCTTTCTTTGTGATCTATTTCTAATGTTATATCTAGTTGTTACAATTTGTCTAATTCACAATACATTAGTTTTGATCATTGTCTATTTTAATTGGTGCTCCTTGTCTTTTTTTTTTCTTCTTAAAGAAGCAAGCGGTATATTGGATGTCCAAAATATAAAACACATATCAGAAGATAAGGAATTGATAGGAGATGTTGTGGAGAAGATTGCCGATGATTGGAACGTCCAGAAACAAACATTTTATAAACAAACAGGAATGGAGGAGGATGACGGATTTGTTGAGGAGCTGGAGCAAGTACTTCTTCTAGAGTAGTTTTCAGATGATGACGAGCATAATGAAAAACTAAAGACTAACATCTGAGCCATAATTTCTAGCTTATAGGGAATTTCATAATATTATCACATTTGAATACTTAACACAAGATTTTTTTGTAAATATCACATGAAATCCAAGAGGAAGCCGTGGTTTTATAGCTGGGTAACAAAATACTCTTATTTGGCTTATTACGTGTTACATCTTCACCTTTGATGAGTAATTTTACCCAATTTTTTTAGATGACTAGTGGCCACCTTGTTTTAATCTATAAACTTAGTAAAAATTGACAATAGAAATTTATATTGATTCTATGGTATTTTTCCTTGATTTGCAATGTACATCAAGTCTTTTCACAATTATAAGAGTTTTTTATATTTTATTTATGGTGAATGTTTACAAAGATCCCTTAAAGTAAGGAAACAAATTAACTGTTATTTAGTTAAAGTAGTATGTTAGAATAAGGAAACAAAGATCTCTAGTTCTCTCTTTCTCCCTCTGTCTCTAACTAATTGAAATAAGTCTATAATTAACAGTCACTTAGTTAAAGTAATTGTATGTTTGTTGTATTTCAGTCAGTATTGATTAAGAGTATGTAATATAAAACATCTTGTATCACACAATTAATGTAAAATCACTTTCATCTTAGAGTATATGTTCTGACCTAAGGGAAGAAAGTAAGTAAATATTCATCCAAGATCAAGAAGATTTTAGTGAATCAAGTCATGACTGGAAAAAATAGATTCCTAGCAAATATGCCAATCTCAGTTGGCAAGAGAAAACATAGTACAAGATGACTTAGACTCAAATTGAATTATGCACATGGTGACAAGATTTGAATGACTCCAATTTTATGATGTATGGCATCTTAATTCAGGATGCTCAAACCATATCACATGACACAAGTAGTGGCTCACTGAATCTGGTGTAGGAAAAAAGACAAAAGCCAGATTATACAAAGGAAAGGGAAAACATGGATCGGGGATGTGTGTTTTGTGTTTGGTGCTCTTTCGTTATCGTTATTACAACCTTCTTTTTTGATGTCAAAGACCAAAAGTTGTGCATTAATTCTCATTAGATCTCAGTTGTTCTTAACAGCGATGACTATTCATTTAAGTCTTCGGGTAGCATCATTAGATCCTCAATAAGGTGGAAATTCTCGTATTCTTTATACATGTTTCTGCAACTCGGATGAGTATTTTTGCTTATATCGCTACGATTATAAACATTTTCTTATTTCTATTAACAAAACATCCCCTTTTTTCTTCGCTCTTCTAGAACCGGTACACAAAAACGGGTGCTTTTTTTACTTTGTTTATCTTAATTACCAGGGTTTCGGAGAAGACTTATATGTGGTTGTTTATCTTAGTTACCGGTGGGGTTCGGGGAAGACCTATGTAGGGCACCTTTTGGGTGTAGGATGATCGTTTAACCTCTGTATTCATCTCGTTTCTGATTTACCGGGTGCATTGTGTTTTTAAAAGCTTCCTGTCGAACCGACTCCTATTTCAATCCGTGCTGGACCAATGTGTGTTTTGTGTTTGGTATGAAGTGTAACCTCCTGAGCATTACACTACAAGTAGAGAAGGTTTTTTCTGTGTCTACGGAAGAATGGTTTTTGAATTTTTTATCATAATCAAAGACTTTTGTTGAAGTCACTCTTAGAAAAGAATAAAACTTTAAAGGCTGGTATAAAGATTAAAGACTAGTGAATTACAATGTTACACAACCACTTTACTTGATCATGATAGATGGCTTTGACATCAAAGGTTTGGACACGTAAGTTTTATAAGCTTAAGTCAACTGAAATCTAAGAATTTGGTTCCAGGAGTTCCTACGCGAGATAAACAAAGTGCAATTTGATTAGTTGGAAAACAATATAGGCTTCTATTAATTTGTGCATAAGTTTTTTAAGAGCCAAACATGTATTACATGAAGTATCATATGATATACGTGGTCCATTTAAAATCTTGATATTTGGAGGAAGAAAATACTTCATATCTTTTGTGAATGAATATATATATATAATGATCAGTCAAATTTAGTAACTTGTTTACGGTAAGAATATACACAGTTGCAGTGAAAGCACTTATTAACTTCAAACAAAAAAATACTAATAGTCTCTTGTGGAATTTCATTAAATGAGGGTTCACCAATAATGATAGACAATTGACAATAATAAATCACAGCTAGTACAAACAATGGATGTGAAAAGTGGGAAATTAAACTAATGAAAATCCTCCCCTCATAATCTCTTCGTATACAATGAAAAAAAAAGCACTATTCGGCAGCATAAAGTTATTTTAAAACAACTAACAAGACGATTAACTAATTCATAACTCAATCTGAACATGGTGAACACTGTGTCCCTCTTGTGGTAAATAATTTATAGCGAAAGTCAGCAATCCAGAATCATTATCATACTCGAAATCTATAACATTCTCTTTCAACAAGCACCTTGTCGGTCTAATCGAACAGTAAGCGCCAAACTTGCCACACCCTTTAATCTCCAAACGAACAACAACGCCTTCCTCATACACGAGCCTCTCAACCGCTCCACCAGCATTGAACATGTTCACAAGTCCAATAGGAGCAAACCTGTGTCCATCACCACCCAAAACCTTAATAGGTGCAACAGCAAACACCTCATGTTCCAACACCTTGAGTGTCAAAGGCATGGCAACATTATGAGGAAGGATCACAAGCTCACCGGAATGGTGAGCATAAAAGGCACAGTCACCATTCCAATCACCCTTTTCGACAACAGCCTCTGATATGAGGTGAACATCTCGGCCTCTAATATAGCCAGTAATAGCAGCAGAGTCCGCATGGTGAAAAGCATTCTTCTTCTCAGTATCACTCCAAGCAGCACCTTGACAGTTATACACTCCAAGCACTCCACCATAAGCATTCATGTTCCATATCTTAAGCAAACTCACCCCATCACGCGCCGGATCATTAAACAAACAATCTGCAGTAGGCCTTCCAGGCAAACGAGCCCGTAACACCGACCCATCAGGCAACACCATCTTTTTCAACAAATCATAGTCATGATTCCCAGGCTTATCACTAACATAAACAGGCCCGCCACTTATAGCCCGGGCCGACGCGTGATACTCCGCTGCAGGATGAAGCGAGTGAAACATATCCCAGTCTGGCTGCATAATCTCTCCCAGGAAAACACTATTGTATGCAACAGAAGCAATATGGATAGTATGGGAAATCGGATCACGCGGATAGAAATCATCAGAAGCTCGAACAACAGCCGTTTGTTTCGAATAGTACAACGCATCCGTATTGTGGCTCATGCATGCGATGCAACCATTATCAGAGAAGTTTCTAGAAATAGAAGCATCCAAAGCCTGATGATACTGTTTGGTAATTTGAACTCTACCACCCAAACCCGCACCTAGTGTCTCCAAAACACACTGCACGTCAACTTTAACACCATCAACCCCGGCCCCCGAGAGATACTTGTGTAAATTATCATAGAAACTAAAAACCTTCTTTGGGTTCACTAAACCCAGACCCTGAACCGCTAACGGATCAGATTTCCATGTTGGTTCGTTCTCTTTAACTCCCTTTGAAATTTCAGGAAAACTCATAACTGAACCGTATTCTTCCATTTCCAAACCCGGTCGAACCCCTCCCCAGTAACCTGTTATAGCGTGCCAAACGTAAACGAATTTCACACCGTGTTTTTCTTTCGCGATGTTCACAATGCCCTTTATCCCTAATTCTGGGTCCTCTTTGTTTTGAAATTTAGCGTTTTCTTTTATCCCCGTAAGCCTCTGCAACGATGAAGAATCATCACCATCGCCGGCAACCAACTGCCATCCGTCGTCAATAATAACAAACTTCGGCGGCGTTCCGCCAGCGACGAGCGACTGTAAACCATCCTCCACACCTTCCTGTGTAACGTCCTGGTAAAACGCATCCCACGTACACCACCCGAAGTAATCAACAATCCCGGGGAGTTTCTTCTCGTGACGGAGACGGAAAGTGTTGAGATGCTTCCTAACCGCCGCGAAAGCATTATGAATAGTGGCAAACGGATCGGTACCGGCGCTGATGAACAGCGCATGAGAAAACGACGACGTTTTGGTGTCCACGTCACCGCTTTCTAAACAGAGTTCAAGATTATCATTTAAAGCGTTTCCTTGAAGACACGCTCTGAATGAACCTTCAATTAGAGGAAGAAAAATAGTATAGATAATATCAGAATCAAGGTGGGACCCAGTTTTTGTTTCAACCAACAAAAACTGAGTTTCTAACGGTATTTCACTTCCTTTATCTCCCATTTTTTGTGCCATCCACCATAACTTGAAACGGAAACACGCCATGAATCTAACGTCCGTTAACTTTCCGAGTGAAACCACGTGGCGGCTTTCTTCCTTCTCCATTTCCACTCCTAAAAAAGCTCCCTCCACGGGTCCGCCATACTCCGCCGTTGTCTCCGTCACGTTCTCAGACACTCCGGTAAGAATAGTCCGATCCTTCACCATCAGTTTCCCGTCGGAAACCCTAACCGCTGATTTGATCGTCATTTCTTCAAACTCAACCTCTTTTCTCTGTAACCAATAACCAATTTCAAAATTAATCAAAATCAAAAATAAATTAAAATAAACAAAATGGAGATCGAAATTATGATGAAATATTTCTCTAGTACCTTAAAAAAAGAAATTAACGGAAATGCAGGATTTGAATATTGTTTTGTAAATTCTGAAACATGGAAAAAGAAATGGATGAATAAAATGCAAAATGGAAGAAAAATTAGGTTAAGATTGAGAAGAGTGAAGAAAAGAGGGGTGTGTACCAGAAAATGAGAGCTGATTTTTGTTCTTGAGATGCAATATCTTTGGATAATTGTGAATGTTTCGATGTAGCGAAAGAAATGGAAGTTTGGTATTTATAGGAAGAGAGGAAGGAAAAGAATATGATGAATTAAACACCATTGTTAACATGGTCCTTCTTCTTATCTTTCTTGTCAAACTAGTGAC